AAATATATATAAAACAAAATAGCTGATTAGTTGCCGTAAACCCGTTTCTTTCCTTTTGCAAGGCAATTTTTGAAAAAAATCAAAATTTAAAAGACAAAACATCCTGTTTTCTGCCCAGTTCTGCTTTCAGACCCTTTCAGACTTGTGTCAGAAAAAGCACAACTACGAATCACCCAAAGGAAGATGGAGAAAAGATGTTTGATCTTTCTGAGGTGGTTCTGCTGTCCCCTCAAACATGCAATGTCTCTATCTCTGTCTCTATTCGAAACCCAGGAGGACTCTGCCATTAAAAACTTTCTGCTGAAGAAATTGGCAAACTACATTTTTCTTGATCTTATGCCCCAATAATTTGGTTCAGATTGGGATTTTTGGCCAAATTCTTTCAAAAATTACAGACAAAGACAGACAAACGATGGTCCTGGCAGCATTTTCGACACAATAACCTCCATTTCTCACATGGCTTACCTGGACAACGGGCTCTTTAACGTACCCCTGAAAACTTTTGGTTAAGATCCCAGGGATGTACCATTTTAACACAAAGTCAAATGCGACTTTCGCCCGCTCGCGGCCGAGGACAGGTTGCCATTTTGCAGCGCCCACATCCTCGGCCACGGGACCCCGCAGAGAAGCCCCTGCTCCTCACCGAGGGCGACCTGGACTGACTTGAAGACTTAGACCTTAGACTAATGACTAACTTCTTTAACAAAGACAAAAATTGACTTTCTTGGAGACCTAAACCTGATTTTCTGAATTAGGGTCCCTGAGACCTCAGAGACATTTCCTGGCCAAATTTTAAGACCTTTCAATTGAGAAAATACCCCCAAATTCTCTGTGGCGTGAACCAGAGCCCTCCGAGTCCACAGGGACAACACACAGCCCGCAACGCTGCGCTCAGTGCCCGTCCCCGAACCGGCGGCAGACCCCAGCCCAGCGCCAAGTCCGAGAAAAAAACCCCAAATCACCAAAAACCGACAAAATGTCACAATTTCGTGGTGGGGAAGGAAAGACCGAGAAGAAGTCGGCGACTCACCTAGGACGGTCAACATGGTCCCGGCCCCGAATACACCACACAGTGATACAGGGCTATGCAAAAACCTCCTGCCTCATGGAAGCAGCAGTCGTGGGCCCCATGGATGTGGCAGGATGGAGGTAATGGGATGGAGGTGCCCCAATGGACACAGCCGGCTGAAGGTGATGAGATGGAGGTGCCCCAATGGACACAGCAGGATGGAGGTGATGAGATGGAGGTGCCCCGATGGACACAGCAGGATGAAAGTGATGAGATGGAGGTGTCCCAATGGACACAGCAGGGTGAAGGTGATGAGATGGAGGTGTCCCAATGGACACAGCAGGGTGAAGGTGATGAGATGGAGGTGCCCCAATGGACACAGCAGGATGAAAGTGATGAGATGGAGGTGTCCTGATGGACACAGCAAGCTTGATGCATGGTGCTGGATTTGCTTCGGTGGATGTGGCAGAGCAGGAGCAGCAGGACAGCCATATGGGGACGCCTGCGTGTCCTTGCTGGAGAGGCCATGGGAAAACAGGTGGCCTTGGCCTCACCATCCCACATGAACCACATTGGTTGGGCTCTCCAGAGCCGTGGTTGCATCGTTGGCTGCTCCAGGGACCCACTGCTACCCAGGACCACGTGCCTTGTGCTCATTACAAGCCCACATCCCTGCCTTTGATGTGGGGACGTTAATGCCAGGTAAGAAAGGGCTGGTGGAGTCTTTGTGTCCTCCTAAGTCATGACAGGCAGCACCTTGCCTCAATCTGCGCTGCTGTCACGCAGGTGGCTGTGGGCTGCCCGGGGGGGGACATCAGCCACGGTCCTGCCACCCTTCAGGCCACATCATGGCTGCAGCTGGGGCGAACGGGGGACCACCAGCCATCGGACAGTGTGTGTGTGGGTAAATCATGAATAAACAATCCATCCATCCTCCCCAGTGCCCAGAAACACCAGCGCTGGCACAGGTGCCGCGGTTTCATAGGGAACCCCACCTCCCGGCACCCATGCCACCCTGCGGCCTGGCCCTGCTCTCGGGGGCAAAACCAGACCTCAGCACAGCCCACGTCCTTACCTGGGCTGGATTTTTGGTGCCTGGCGGGCAGGTGAGCCTCCTTGCAGCAGCTATGTTGGAGTGCCCTGTGCTGGGGCAGCCCCGGCTGCCGTCACACTGTGCCCGCTGCCGTGCTGGAGCTCAGCCCTGCGCTCAGGGCTGGGTGTGGGGCGCTGGACCGTCCCACCAAGGGTAAATAAGCACTTCCCTTTGTCACACCTGGCATCTCGGCACCAGCAAAGGCACTGCTGTGGGGTTGGCTCTGGTGTGGGGGAGTTCAGAGCTGCCCTGAGCCAATGAAGCTCGACGGCCATGCCGGAGGATCAGGCCCCGGGATGCTCACTGAAGGTGCCTATCGCTGTGTCAGTGGGTGATAACCAAAGGCTGAAGCCATGGGAGTTTTTATTTCTGCTCTAACAGAGCTCAGCACAGGTCTCAGCACTTTATGCCCTGCCTGGGTCAGGGGGGGCTGGTCTGCAGACAGAGGGGAGCCCTGGGGCATCAGCCAGCACTGGGCGCTGCAGTGGAGCCCTGGCTGGTTGCTTTCTCCAACTTAATTTAGCTCCCGCCTTTGCTGTGGGAGATCAGGCCAGTGCCCATGGACCAAACCCAGGGCTAGTGCAGCCTTAGTGCCTGAGATGGCTCCTGCTCCGCTCCCCAGGTGCAACAGAATTTGGGGCAGGAACCCCGGGGAGGGAAGGCAGCAGCCAGCTGGGGTCACCTGAGGACCAGCCGCAGACCACTGCAGGGGAAAATGCAAGACAGGAATGAGCAGTTAAGCTCTCACTGATCATGGCCATGTTTTTTTGCAGGGTCATGATCATATTTGACCAAGGAGGAAGGACTGGGTGATGGGGATGCAGGGCCAGCGCTTGCTCAGGGTTTATTTGGAGGATGCCCAGGATGAGGGGATGGGGCAGGGCAGATGGGAGAGCTTCAGGCATGGGGAGAAGGCAGGGCCCACAGAGATGGCAGAGACTTGCACAGAAGGAGGGGACAGGGATGGTGAAGCACTGTGCTGGGGAATGTGATGCTCCAGGGCCAGGGCTGTCCGATCCCCACTGGGGTTAGGAGCACTCAGATCTATTCAGGACCTTCTTGATGGTGGCAGTCTCATGCGTGACCTTGCAGGTGTGGGTCTCATGGATCTTCCAGTTAGCAGCACCCAGCACCAGGTAGCTGCTGGCCATGTACTCGTTGGTCTGCCGCTGGGGCTGGCTGGTCTCGATGCCACTGCTGAGGGCACGGCCACCCACATGGCACCGGGGTAGAAGTCTCCCAGCAGACACACCAGGATGGCTTTGCTCTGCGTCGAGAGCTCCTTGGAGGACGGTGGGAAGAGGTGGACGTTGGGGGAAGCCTTGGGCTGACCTGCGAGGGGAGAGAGAGGTGCGGGGAAGCAGCTATGGAAGGAGGAAGGTCTTTAAAGTGTGCACACTGCTATACCCGTGAGGTTTTGGTCCTGGCTGAAGTCTTTCAGTGCAGCTCCCACCACCAGCAAAGGAGCTAATAGCTCAAGGTCTCTGCAGTCACCTTATTTCTTTAATATTCAGCCTAGCAATGTAAAAAGGCTGTCCTGGAGGTAAGAGGCCCCAGCTCTCCGGAGGACACCCAGGGTGCGTGTCTGCAGGATTCCCTGGCACCAGCATCCCACACCTCGGCCCTGTGTCACGCGCGTGTGCGGCTGTAGCCAAAACTCAGCTACGCTGCTCTTTGGAGGCTGAAGAGGCAGCCATCGTCCTGAGTGCCACTGAGACATGAAGAGGCAACCTTGTCCTCAGCCAGCAAGCCCAATCTGTCTGCTCAGACCTGAAGCCTTCTACTTCAACCTCATTTATATTTCCTCATCCTACAGAGCATACCTGGGAGCTTCTTCTTAGGAGAAAGAGAAATGTTAAGAAATTTCTGTTTCCTAAACTCCAATATAATCTGGTTGTCTGGCAAATATACAGATATACTTTACGCAGTAACTCCAGCACTCACAAGTTGAACAAGACCCACAGGATCAGCAGAGGGTCCGCAGATTTGAAAGGACCAAAAATGTTTCGCAAGCAGCAAAGCCCGATTAGCCTGTCAAACCTTGTTTCCTCCTGCCAAGGAAAGGCACATGGATACTTTTCAGTGTGGTTAGACAGACGGATGACACGCTACTATAACTAAATGGAGAAGTTGAAGCAAGAAAAAAACCAATACCCCAAACCCCAGGAAGAGCCCATGCAGCCCCCAGCACTGGGAAGACCCCGTGTGAGCATCAGAGCGACTTTCTGAGAACGGTCAGCTGGGTCCCACTGCCAAAGAAATAAGCTAAAATCACACGCCAAACCTCCTCCAAACAGCCCCCTGTATAAAATGCTCACTGGATCACAAGGTTTAGTGAAGGTCGTCCCGGTTTGGGCCAGTCTGCCTTTGGTGGCCTTATGATCAGTCCCACCCTGTCTCTGGGGAGAGGGTGACAGGTCCAGCTTCACCCTGGGTGAGCACGGCATCTCTCCTCCGCAGCATTTCCCCCCTCCGGGCCGGACTGTGCGGAGATGCCAGGGATGCTCCAAGCACGGGCAGCAACTGGGTGGGCAGCGCGGCCTGGGCTACGGGCAAGCTGGGGGCCAGGGGGTGTGAGGAGCATGAAGTAAAGGGCAATTGAGAGCAGTAGGTCCCAGGGCATGCGTGTGCTGAGAGGGAACACACGTTACTGCCAGGGTGAGTGCAGCAGAGGGCAGGCAGCCCGTGTGCTGCCAATCATGCCCTGGGCACCCTCCTGCCTTCCAGAGCTGAGCTGGACGGTGCCAGAGCAGCCTTTAGCACTTAAACCCATCTCACCTGGCTCTGTCGAGGTGATGGCTGCTTCCCAAGGCACCAGGAGTGGAGGACGGTGCTGCTCCACCAGCTAACCCAGTTCTGGAGGAGCAGCACGGACAGAAGGGCATCGCAGACATATTTTCCTAGCACAGGAGATAGGGAGGCCGCAGACATCAGCAGGTTTGCCCCAGGCACCCTGCCAGCAGTATTCCCTACCCATCCAGGAGCTCAGCTTCCCACTGAGCTGCCCCTGCCCATTCCGCATCTCCCAGGCTGCTGCTCCTGGTAGCACCTTATCAACCCCTGCCTTCACAGCCCTTTGGAGCAGCAGCCCTTGGGTGAGGGATCCCGGGAGCATCTGCCAAGGGCCAGGGCACGCAAAGGGGGTCGGAGAGGAGGCATCAGAGGCTGTTGGTAGAGAGGAAGAGCTAGGACTAGCAGAGAAAAGCATGCAGGGGATGTGGATGCCTCCATACAGCTGCAACAGCCAAGGCAAGGGTGAGCCAGGATGGGTTTCAGCTAAGACCGGTTAGCTTCAAATTCCCCAGGGAAGCCTCGGCTGCTGTTTTGTAAAGTGTTTTCCCAGCGTGGTGCCAATGGCACAGGGCAAAGAAGCTCTTGGAGTGCTGAATTTCTATAGCACTAACCTGAACTCAAAAATATTCAAATGCTGTGGTTTGTGCAAGTGGATATAGAAAGAGGCAGAGTCAGTGAACCTCCTGAGACACTAGAAAGTAAACGATGCTTCAAAGATTTTGTGGTTCGAGGCACTTTCTGTTTCAGGGGTTTGGTTTGCCTCTGGGAAGGTTTATGCATTGGTGCGAAGCCTGAAACTAGCCAAAAAAAATCACTGAAATTGTCTATGTAAAGCATTTAGCTGAAGCCAATGCCATCTATTGAGGAAAACCAGTTTCTGAGCATTTCTGAGACTTTGATGGGGTTTCGGTTTCATTTTAGGATAGGACAATAAAGGGGAACAATGTTCAGCTCCAAAGTCCAGCGTTTCCCCTTGGAGGGAGGTATGAAGGAGGACAGATGCTGTGCTGGACGTACCGGGGGTGTTGGCCCTTCAGCAACCACATGGCACGTCGCCTTGGTGGGCGTGGGGACAGGTGAGGGGGTGTTGGTCCCAGAGGGGCACTGGGGAGGGTACACACAACTGCTGTGTCCCAGCTGCCGGGGCTAAGCAGCGGAGGCCACGCCAGGCAGTCTCTGCTGCTGCTACATGGCTCGCCCAGACATGGCTGGGAGTGAATGAGAAGGGAAAGGGTAGGATGTGTCCAGCAGCCTTGCAGCATAAACCATTCTGAAACTGCCCTGGCATGGCTTCTGCAAACATCTGCCCCCGGAAAATGCTTCCTTTATGGGCTAAAATGAGCACCGGCTGAGGGGAGTACATGCCCGGGGGGCTCCTGGCACAGCTGGGCTGGGAGGAGGGCAGGGAGGCACCCGGCTGGGCACTGGGTGCCAGATGGGGGGCGCGGGGGAACTGGGCCCTGCAGGGTGGGGCAGGGACAGGGCTGCTGGGGGTCACCCCCTCCCTAATGACAGGGGAAGGGCACAGAGATGGGGCTCTAAAGGACAGTAAAGCCGGGACATCGGGCACAGCCACCTGCAGCACAGGGCAGCAAGGGCAGGGCCATGGCGGGGACCTGCCCCAACCTCACACAGGGACAGCAGAGACTCCTAACTGGAGGGTTTTGTGTCACTTCCCCATTGCTCTGTGTCACCGTGGGCACATAATTGCTGCCGTCGTCGCCA